ACGCTTAAATGCTTAATCTAGACTAACAAGGATTTGTTCTATAACGTGCAGGCATGGTATTAAGCAAAAACTATCATGTTGGTATGATGGTCCATCTTATATCACACAATGTCCGATTCAAAGTGGACAGAGTTTCACATACGACTTCACAGTTGCGCAACAAAAGGGCACATTTTTTTGGCATGCACACTTTTCTTGGCTTAGGGCTACAGTATACGGTCCGCTTATTGTATATCCTAAATCTTCTATTCCTTACCCTTTCAAGAAACCCTTCAAGGAGCATACAATTCTCCTAGGTAATCTATATTCTTAAATTAATGTTACTCTCTTTCGCTAATTGGTTTCACTGAGTTTGTTTTCGACCTGATCAATCTAGGAGAGTATTGGCTTAAGAACATGGTAGAGCTCGAACAACATGTACTTGAGAGTGGAGGACCTCCTCCTCCAGCAGATGCATTCACAATTAATGGTCAACCAGGCCCTAACTACAATTGCTCCTTTAATGGTAATAGAAAATGCTATGATCGGTCCACGACAAGAAAACAGATTATTGATCCTTGGTTTATTATCTTTATATTTCAGATGTTTATGAGATTAAGATAGTGCCAAGGAAGACATACTTGTTAAGGCTGATAAATGCTGGCATTAACATGGAGAGCTTCTTCACCATAGCTAATCACAGGTTGACCATTGTGGAAGTAGATGGCGAATACACCAAACCTTTTACAACAGAGCATGTGATGCTTGTGCCCGGACAGACAATGAACGTTCTTGTTACAGCTGATCAAGCCATTGGGAGATACTCCATCGCCATGGGTCCTTACGAGTCTGCGAAGAATGTCAAGTTTCAAAACACATCAGCCATAGCTAATTTCCATTACTTTGGTGCGTGGCCTAACAGTGTAACATTACTAGCTAAGTTACCTATTTTCAATGATGATATTGCTGTTCAGACTGTCATGGATGGGCTCAGAAGTCTAAATGCAGTTGATGTTCCAAAAGATATTGATGCTCACCTCTTTATCACAATCGGGATAAATGTAAACAAATGTAACTCTGAAAATCCAATCAACAAGTGCCAAGGGCCCAGAAACGGAAGATTAGCAGCTTCACTGAACAACATCAGCTTCGTGGAACCAAAAGTCTCGATTTTGGAAGCTTATTACAAGAACCTGGAAGGGTACTTCACTTTAGATTTTCCAACCGTGCCGGAAAAATCCTATGACTTTGTCAATGGTGCACCCAATGACATAGCCAACGACACGCAGGCCGCAAATGGGACTCGAGCTATAGTTTTCGAGTATGGAAGCAGAATACAAATCATCTTCCAGAATACTGGCACTCTTACAACTGAAAATCATCCAATTCATCTTCATGGGCATAGCTTTTATGTTATTGGCTATGGCACAGGGAATTATGATCAACGAACAGCACAATACAACCTTGACGATCCTCCTTACTTGAACACTATTGGAGTTCCAGTAGGAGGATGGGCTGCGATTCGGTTCGTAGCCAACAATCCAGGTATTCTTCTTGGCACAACACTCCTTAGCATCACAACTCACAAACATTTTGGCTGATAAATTTCTTCTTCTTTTCAATGAATAGGGCTCTGGTTATTGCATTGCCATTTCGACATCCATCAAACATGGGGAATGAGCACGATGTTTATAGTGAAGAATGGCAAGACGGTGCTAGAGAGTCTACCTCATCCTCCTCCAGATCTACCAAAGTGCTAGCTTCATTGAAATTACAAGAGAAAAATTCTTTTTGGTAACAACCGCAGAAAGAGAATTAGACGCTTCCATTTTGCCTGCTCTTATTCATTAATCTAGAGAAAATGAAATGTCATTCAAAGGGATAGAGACACTATGGTATATAAGAGAAAGATTCATATAAAAAAAAAAAAAGCATTTATTCATATTTTTCAGTTTGATCCAACTCAAAAAACGAAGATACACAGTACACTGTTTGAAAGCCAAGAATGAAAATACTATGAATTGCTACAAGCTGGCGAATCACATATAAGAAATTATTTAATCATGGGTTAACCTTTTCTGAAGTCCAGCACTTCTCTCCTGTTCCACTAACCATCGACGAAAACAAAAGCCTCCGATTACTTTTCAGATTCAAGTAATCAACCTGTCATGAAAGGGAAATCATTAATAAAACAATCCGCGACGAATTCGCTTCTACGTAGGAGACAGCATAAGAAAGAAAAACCTTTTCTGGCTCTAAAAGCAGCAGACAGTACTCAGCAACTGGACCACTTGAGGGATCTAAACTAACTTCTTGATTTGGTTGGTCACTGTTGTAAGGACTACCAGGAGAAGGACAGATATAGATCATCCTTGACTTTAAAGAATTAGCAAACCAAGCTTTCTCTCTTTGCTACATTAAGCAATTCAAAATCAAAACAATTTACCAAAATTCAAAAAAAAAAGTGTTTCTTCCTTTCCAATGAGTTATGTATTTCAAACCTGAAGCTTAGTCTGGTCAGGATTCGACGCATCAATGACCTCAATTCTTCCACTGATCCTGAATTGCTCCCATGAATCCGAGAAATACCAACATATCTTG